TCCTCTGCTACATCTGAGAACTCAGCCATCGCGCAGGAGATCTTACAGTGGAGACCCATGCCAAGAAACACCCTGCTTGCCTCCAGGATGCCCTGGAATTCTTGGGTCTCAAGAATTTAGCTATGGACGGCGTGACGTGCCAACGCCAGATTCAAGTGGACGTCCTGGGGTCTCAGGGCCGGGTTTCTGGTGAAAGGTTTCTTGTGGTCGAGCCCCTACTTAGGCGGCGAGCCACGGGGGGAAGTGAGAAGGGGCGCGCCTTCTCAGAAGGCTCGGAAGTCCCCCGGACTGCTGAGAAGTTCTCTAAGCCTTCCCCGAAGACAGAAAAAACTTCTCAGAAGGCGCGAGGGCTTCTGAGAAGTCCCGCCGCCTTCTGAGAAGGCCTTCTCCTTCTCAATTCCCCCCCTCGCTCGCCGCCGACTACTGTATCCTCCACCCCCAATTCCTCCTCGCTCCTTGTCCCCCTCGCCCTTCTCCTCCTCTGCAGGCTCCCCGTCGACCCGCGGGCAGCCGGTCTCTGGGGGGGAGAGGGGCGGGGCGGGGCGCTCCGCGCCGCAGAACTCGTCCCACTGGGGATTCAGAATCCTGGCAGGGACGGCGAGGGAGAATACGAGAGAGAGAGGGAGAGACGTATACACACGCACGCACACACACACACACACACACACACGCGCGCGCAGATAGACACAAAGCACTGATTGTGTGTGGATGTATGTACGTATGCTTAGAAAACGGACATGCGCACATGCATTTATACATGCAGACATCCATGCATACATACATAGATGCATGCATGTATGTATGCATGCATGCACGCAGGCGTACATACATACATACATCCATACATACATACATACATACAGACAGACAGACAGACAGACAGACAGACAGACAGACAGACAGACAGACATAAATCCATACATACATACATGCATGCATGCATGCATGCATGCATGCATACATACACACATACATACAGGCATACAACACTTACACATTTGCATGCATACATACGTACGCACAAGCATGCAGACATGCATGCATACATTCATGCATGTATGCAGACAGGCAGACAGACAGACAGACATAAATACACTACATACAGTACATATACTACATACTACATGCCAATATACCGACCTATATACCTACATGCCTGCCGATCTACCTACTTACATACATGTACTTAAACGTAAACATCTATATATATATGAAGCATATGAAGTATAACGCATATGAAGCATATGTATGTCTATGTATCTACAGTTATGCCAATATATATATATATATATATATATATATGCACATATGTGCGCCACCGAGTGGAATGTTTTCAAGTCCTCTGCCTCATCGCCTGGTCTCGGTCCTCAATCCCGAGGGCCCTTTCAGGGCACCGGACCCCGCCTTGCCAAATCCCTGGAGGCCCCCGGCGTGCCCCCCGGCGTGCACCCCGCCGCGCCCTGTCGCGCAGCCTGCTCCGGGCCCAGGGCGCCCCAGGGGACCTCCACGACGTTCTTAAGAGGGCCCCGGCTCGCCGATTGTTCGGCCCAGCACGCCCAAGATCGCCCGAAGACGGCGGAAGAGGCGCCCACAGCGCCCCAGGAAAGGCACCAGGAGGCCTCCGAAGAGGGCACCAGGAGGCAAACATCACCCAAGCGCTTGGGAAGACGTGCAATTGTTGGCATACACGGCATTGCCGCCTCACGGCGTTCAAGACGGCCCAAGAGACCCCCAAGATTGCCCCAAGACTGCCCAACAGGCCCCCAGGAGGGCCCCAAGACGGCCCAAGATGGCCTGAAGACGGCTGAAGAGGAGCCGCATACGACCCAAGAGAGCCGCAGGACAGCCCAAAGTGGTGCCAAAGAGGGAAAGCCCGATCCGACAGTATGAGTGTTCCGCCCCAAGACCCCAGGAGGCCCAGGAGGCCCCAAGCGGCCCCAAGATGCCCCCACAAGGCACCAAGAAGCCTCAACACGGCCCCCGAGAGGCCTCAGAGCTGCCTCGATGAGGCCCCTGAGAAGCCTCCAACGACATCTCAACGAGCGTCCAGGAGGCCTATGACCCACAGCCCAGGCATAGTGGCGGGATAGGACGAAGACCATTATATGTCCATACGAGCATCGGGCGCGCTTCGCGCGCGCTCAGGTTCTACCTGTCTCGGAGCCCAAGGTGAGGGGAGGGGATACCTCCCCGATGGGGGGGTACCCCCCCGACGGGGGTCAACCTCGCCTCGTCGTCGCGCCGCGACGGGGTCGGAGCGCCTCCGGCGCGCGGTGGTTGCCCGCGACGGGGGTCGATGTGGCTGTCGGCGAGGGTGACGCCCCCCCGACGCTTCTTGAGAAACTCGGGGTACCGTGGGCTTGAAGCCGTGCCCCTGCGGCATAGCCCAGGCGGCTCCCGCCGAATGTACACACACATTCCCTCGATCTGCGGAGGAAGGAGCTCGAGGACCGAGTGTCGAGTGCTCGTGAAGAGGGAGGGGGCCACGGGCCCGGGAGGAGACAGGGAGGAGACCGGCAGCCAGGAGGCAGGGAGCAGGATGCCAGAAGGGGACGGGGCCAAAAGCAGACGGTACAGCATGCGGCTGCTGGCGGAGAAGCAGGTGGGGAAGAACGTTGGCGGAGGGAAGGCGAGGAGGCGAGAGAAGCGTGGAGGAGGAAGAGGAGGAGGAGGAGGAGGAGGAGGAGGAGAAGGAGGAGGAGGAGGAACACGAGAAAGAACGCCGCACGCGGCTGTCGGCCCAGCCACTCCCCGAGACACGGGAGCCTCTGAGAGGCGTGCTGGGATCTCGTGGGAGGCCTCTCGGCAGCTTGTTCGCAGCATTTGGGGGGCCTCCAGCTTGTGCACAGCATCATCATCATCATCATCATCATCATCATCATCATCATCATCATCATCATCATCATCATCATCATCATCCTCATCATCCTCATCATCCTCATCATCCTCATCATCCTCATCATCATCATCATCATCATCATCATCCTCATCATCCTCATCATCCTCATCCTCATCCTCACCTCATCCTCATCCTCATCCTCATCCTCATCCTCATCCTCATCCTCATCCTCATCCTCATCATCCTCCTCCTCCTCCTCCTTCTCCTTCTCATCCTCATCATAATCAGAATCAGAATCATCATCAGAATCATCATCATCATCATCATCATCATCATCATCATCATCATCATCATCATCATCATCATCATCATCATCATCATCATCATCATCATCATTCGTGGGAAGCCTCTTGGGGGTATCGGGGGGGGCCCGGGAGGGGGCGTCTCGGAGGCTTCCCGGAGGCCGGCTGCCGGCTGTCGGACTCCTGGGGGCCCCCTCTGGGGGAGCCTCTCGGCTCGTGCGGGGGGAACCCCACTGGGGCGGTGTTGGGGGCGGGCGCGAGCCGCCTCGGACGCTGATAGTGTGGTCGACCCAAAAGGAGATCCAGCTGCAAGGGAGTGGTGCAGTAGATGTTGGGCAACTGTACTGCACATGTACTGCGCCGGAGAATTGTACTGCATCGTTTTGCAAATAGTGCATCTCACGCGAAAATTGAGCAATACATTTGCGCCCCGGAAGGTATGGCACGCCCCAAATTTATTGCACCCCCACGAATATGTTGGACCAAATCTAATGCACCACCCCCTTGTCGCTGGACCCCCGTTTGGTTCAACCAGAGTTCCGCTAGCACAACGAGTACGTTATATCCTCTGGGCGATGAAAGATGATTGTCTGCCTCTGGGGCTCTCTTGGGCCGCCTTGGGGCGACTTTTGGCTCATCTTGGGCCGTCGTGGAGCATCATTCGCCCGAGAAGGCGCATCCGCACATACATCCGAAACCTGACGAGAACTCGATGTGTTGGCCTCCTCGGGCCCTGTTGGGGGTTCTCTTGGAACCCTCTTGGACCATCCGGGGGGCTCTTCTGGGCCGTCTTGGGGTGCTTTGGCCGTCTTGGGGCTCGCTTGGGGACTCCTTTGGGCTCTCTTGGGGCTCGCTTGGGGCTCTCACGAAGCGTCTGGGGGTTTTCTCGGGCGTCCTGGGGGCCTCTTGGACTATCTTGGGGCTCTCTTGGTCTTCCTTTGACGTTCTCGGGGGCCTTTTGGGCCGTCTTGGGGCCACTTATGGCACCTATAAGCCTCAAAAACCTCCGAAAGCCTTTAGGACATTTGGCGATGCTGGGTGACCAGGGCTGTCTTGCAGGGCCCGTCAATTGCCAGGCATATCAAAATGAGTGCAACATAAGTCAACACAAGTGCTCATATCTGGTCTAGGACTGAGTATGCCCAACTATTCGGGCACCCCGGGTCCAGTTCGCCACCAGCGTTTCGGCGTATGGTTGGCCATCCTCTTCAGGACCTGCCACAACCAACCACACGGGGCAGGCCGACGCTGACACGAACGACTTTTTGGCCTTCAAAGAAGGGAGGAAACAACTGGGCCTCCTGGAGCACTCCCGGGGCGTCTGAGAGTCGGGGCCGCGGGAGGCGCCGAGCGGGCTGCCTGACACGTCCGGAGGCTGTCCTGGGACGACTCGAGGCCGCCAGTGGACAGTCTCGACGGCTGCCTGACCGCCCTGGACGTCGATGTGGGGCTCCATGAGCGTACGCTTATGTCGGGCACGTCCCCCTTACAGGCCAATTCTCGACGAAAAATAAAAGATACCCCCCAAAGTACCCCAAAACGGTAAAAAAGATGCCCCCACAATAGTCCCCAAACTATTTTTGGATTATTTTGGGAATCTGTTTCAAGTATTTTTCATTTTTCTTGGGGAATCCCCCTGTAGGGGGGTAGACCCGACTTAAGCGTGCGCGGGACGCCCCGGAATTCCCATCTGCGGCCGAGAGTCTGGCCGGGGGGCCCCAGATCTGGTCCCTCGTTCTGTACCACGTGTACATGTGCTAGAACCATCGCGTGCGCTTCGCGCACGCTCCAGTTCGAATCGTGTGCAGGGCAATGCGTGTCTGCTGTCTCGAAGGTCTGGCAAGATGCCTAGACGTGATAACATTGCCCTCTGCACGCAGCCGGGGTTGTAGCCGTCCATCGTCAAAGATCCGGTTTGCCAAGCGCCCCGTTCGTTGGGGAACGGGCCCACAAAAAATTTGCACATCGGAAACAAGACACTTTGTCCGTCAGCGGCAAGGCGGCGAACTCCGCTCCAGCGAGAAGCTAGATAGGGGCGCTAACTAGCGAATTGGCCGGCAAGCAAGGAGGGAGGGGGGACGGCCGAGAGGAAGGAGGGACGCTCAGACGCCGAAGAGTTCGACGATGAGCAGCCGGGCGGGCGGAAACAAGACACATGGTGTTTGCAAAACCTGTGAATCGAATTGCCGGGTGCAGCGCGCGCTTTTGCCGTGCGCCACGGCACGGCACTTTGTCTCGAAAGTCGCTCTCGCTTGGCCACAAGGCCTGCACGCGACTTGCGAGTCGCGCTTGTATGGATTCTTCCTCCCAGTGCCAGAATCGGGCTACTATTAGGTCGCGAATGTCTCCCTACTGGCGGACTTTGGGCGAACAGCGAAAAATACGCAATAAATATCCCTACCATAATCAAACAAACATGTTCAACAAATCGTCCCCAAGCTATTTTAAACTATTCTTGAATACTCCTCCTGTAGAAGGACATGCCCGACCTAAGGCTAATATGAATGAGTCATTACATGCGAACCCGTTTTGCATGTGGAGCAAGGAGGTTGGGCGTATCGCACAGCGTGAATTTTGCAGTACGTCGACATGACGTGGACTGGCTTTCTACGACCTTGGCAGTCGTCGGGCGCCGGTTCGTTGCCTACCCCGTGGTTGCACCTGAGGACTTCATCACAGCAAGGGAGCCCATGTGTAGTGCAATGTTGGCACCTGAGTTGTATCGTGCATGGGGGCAGGCCGCTTCCGTATGCAGAGTCAGCAAAACCTGTGGTAGAAACAACATGGTTGGGGTTGGACTCGTTGCACGGGAACTTTCTGGCAACGGAAGCACGTGAACTCTCTGAGAGACGCCGTGTCTTGACGGGATCGAAATTGACAAGGCGGATAACCGGTATATCCCACAGTGCAAAGATCATCATCCGTCACGCGCCGTCTGGACCGTGGTCAAGAAACGAAACGCAAAACAATGTCAGGCGAAAATGGGAGACACGCTACGATGGCTAAACCAAGCAGGGGGACGAGGGCGATGAGGATCAGATCTTACTCAGGCGCCCAACGGATCTTGCGACCAGTGCCTGAGCGCGCACAGCCGCAGAAGGCGCGGGGCAGCCCCCCCCCCCTCAGCGGGGGGCGCGATGCAGCCACGGGCATCACTGCATACTTCTCTCAGGCGTTCCCGCTGTGTCGGCCGGGGCTTCGGTGTCGGTCGGGGTGGCGGAGATGCCAGCGTGGTTTAATCCATTGCAGCCTGCCTCGAACTTTCAGAGGCTTTCATCGCTCCCATGTCGTCGTAAAAACCACGTATTTCGTGGGGCCCACAAACACACACACACATAAATACACACAAATAACCGGATTCCCCATATTTTCCTAAATTTTCTGGGTTTCTGTCTTCCCCCCCACTTCCCATATTTTCGCATATTTTCTGGGAATCGACGAATAATTGTGTCTGTGTGTTTTTTCCCCTCTTGAGTATTATTGAATTGACGACCTCGGCGGGGCCCGAGACGAGGCGAGGGTGCAGGCGGGCAGGGCAACAGAAGCAGCACGTCGAGACCAGGCAGCGACAGCGGCCAGCGAAGACGACGGGTCACCATGACGATCCGCTGCACAGAGGAAGACATGTGTTCTTCCTGGCGCTTGCGAGTGGGCACGTTTGTGGGTAGTGGAACACGCTCGGTGAATTTCGGGGCCCACACCTTACACCACCGCCACCTCCCTCCCCCCATCCCCCTCCCAGGAAAGCAGCGAGGAAGAAGAAGGCAGGCCGCACAGCAGGAGAGCCCGGAATCGAATCGACAAGTCGGATCGGCGGTCGAAGTGAATCGGATCGGCGGACATCGGCAGCCGAGTCGGGAAGAGTCGAATCGGCGGAAATCGGCGGGCTAGTATGCCTCCAATAAGAAATCGGAAGCCAAATCGGAATCCGAATCCGAATCGAATCGGAATCGGAAGCCACCGAAATCGAATCGAATCGAATCGGAGGAATCGAAATCGACAGCGACGGTGTCATCGACGACGGCGGCGACGACGGGCGGGCGGGTGGGCCCATCGACAACGACGACGCCGAGATGCCCGCCAAAACCCGCCCGCCCGCTCTCTGCGCCTCCGGGCGCGCGACCAACCGAAAGGGGAGGGGGGGGGGTCGGAGCGGAACACCCGCCGGCCGCGGCGGCGGCGGCGGTCTTGTACTTCACCGGGGACCTGTAGGAACCGCGCCCGACCTTGATGACCACGTACCTGGAGGGGCAGCGGAGCACAGAATCGAATCGATAAATCGAATCGGCGATCGAAATGAATCGGATCGGCGGGAAATCGGCAGCCGAGTCGGGAGAAGTCGAATCGGCGGAAATCGGCAGGCTGGTATGCCTCCAATAACAAATCAAAACCCAAATCGGAATCCCAAACCGAATCGAATCGGCATCGGCAGACATCGAAATCGTATCAATCGAAACGGAGGCATCGAAATGAGCCCTGGACGGGGGGAGAGAGGTCATGGCATCACAATTTGTTGGTTGGCCACGGGGCTCTTCAGCTTCCCCTGGGCCTCACACGTCATGGCACCACGGATGCTTTTGCTGACCGCCAAGCTCTTCACCTTGCCCTGGGCCTCAACGCCGCAGCACGGGTGCACGAGACCAGCTGCAACGCGAGAGCAAGGGCTCCCAGCTTCGCGCTTCGCGCTGCGCGAAGCGCGAAGCGCGAATAACGTCGCGCTCTCGCGCCGCCCTCCCAAAGGGAGAATAGGAGGACGAGGAGGAGGGGGAGAAGGAACGAGGACCGCGAAGCGCGAATAACTTCGCGCCCTCGAGGGAGCCCTTGCAGCACGGGTGCACGAGACCAGCTGCGACGCGAGAGGGCGATAGGGGGGCCCACTGGGGGGGACGACGGATGGGGCGTGGAACCTCGACGGGGCACGGGGGCGGAAACGGAAGGGCCGGGAGGGCGGCGGGGAGAGGTCGCGGACGGGGGAGGGAACGGCGGGGAGAATTACTTACATCAAGACCTGCCCCTCACGTCGCCAGCGCTCGGCCATCCATGCCCCGTGCGTTTGTCGGTGTCGCGCGTGTATGTTTCGCAAGATGACCCAAGATGCTTCTCGAGGGTCCTGGCCGAGAAAGTAGGCACACGTCCGAGCGATGCCGAGTCATCTCCCCCTCTCCCCCTCCTTGGCCTGCTGTCTGCGTCTCCTGCCTGTTTGGCCCTCGCTCCTCACCGGAATCAGGCGCCTCGGGACACCAGGTCCTGGACCGATACTGTCTCACTTGGAGGAGAAGACAGCGAGAATCATGACGAAGACAGAACGCGGAAACGTCGTGTCGATCTTGATCACCGTCGATCTTTGTCGGCATCATCTTGTGGTTAATCCTCGCGAGTCGGCGACGGCTGGCATGGACAGTGACCAAGATCGGCATCGACAAAGTCCCGCGACACCTTGGTCATGGTCCCCGTCTTTCTTCCCTCGATCTATGAAGGCAGCAGGGCTGGACCTAAACAGTGTTGTTAGTTTCGTGATCCGAGTTGTTTTTCTACGTGTTCTGCCTGTCCCCCTGGGCCTCTCCGCCAGAACGAAACCCAGAATGGAGCCCGAAGTCTAGCAAAACACGGTTCAGGTCCAGCCCTGGGTGGCAGGGTGCAACGCGCAGCGCAAGGAGGGACACTCCCCTCTTCTTGGCCACAGCTGGCCCGAGCGTGCCAGTTGCATCGTTGTTCTGCATGCTCGCGAACGTGCCGATGGGCACGCCTGTTTTTTTTGCTGGTTCTGCCTGTGCACGGCCTTTGATTGACTGTCTGACCCTCGGAGAGGGCGGCAAAATAAAGATGCAGGGCCCCGGCAGTGCAGCGCCCCCCCCGGGGGTCCCATAGCAGGGGGCACGAGCGAAGAGGAAGGAGTGAGGATGACGCACGTAGGAGGAGCCTTCCTCCCCCTCCTCCTCCTCCTCCTCCTCCTCCTCCTCCTCCTCCTCCTCCTCCTCCTCCTCCTCCTCCTCCTCCTCCTCCTCCCCTCCTCCTCCCCCTCCTCCCCCCCTCCCCCCCCTCCTCCCCCTCCTCCTCCTGCTCCTCCTCCTCCTCCTCCTCTTCCTCCTCCTGCTCCTCCTCCTCCTCTTCCTCCTCCTCCTCCTGCTCGTGCTCCTGCTCCTGCTCATGCTGCTTATCCTCCTCCTGCTGCAGTAGGAGCCCTCCCCCCCAAACGCACGGATCCGACAGGCCGTTGATGTCTGCTGGGCGCAGGTCGCTGGCCTTGGTGGCGGAGCACGGTTTTCGCTTGTCGAGGAGGTCCGAGAGGGACGGTGGTAAGAGGCGACACTAGGGAAAGGAGGATGACGACGACGCCGAGGGGGAGGCAAGGGATGGGGGAGGGGAGAGTGGAGAGAAAGGAAAAATAGAAACAGAAGGATAATGATAGGGATGCCTGAACTGAGGGACAAAGAACACAAGATGAGACCACTTGACCCAGCTAAGAAAAACACCGGATCCCATTGCGCGAACCATCAATCTGCTCAGGTCAGGTTATGGCAAGTTGGCTGCTTAGCCTTCACCATCGCCTGAGAATGTTATCAACTTGGCATACGAGAACTCTGGACACCATCGCTGAGAGCACAGAGCTGCTCAACTCCCCCCAAAACTGAAATCCAAGCCATTGAAAGCGGTGCCCTCTTTCAAACAGAAAATATGGCGTGAACACGCCCGACCAAGGCACGGTCCCGTCAGCTCCTTGGAGAATGCAATTCGCAAGATTCCAGAGTCCACGACCCGAAATACGCCCGCGCTCCCGAATATGCGATTTCTGGTAAATAAAGGCCCTGTGTTCCCAAGGCGCCGACCCCAAGTTAAAAACAGTGGGGCCGCGCTCCGAAGCCACGATCCAATGTGTCTGTGGGGCCGCGGTCTCGAAGCCACGCCCCGCGCTCCCGAAACAACGACCCGAGTTACAACAGAATGGACCTGCGCTCCCGATGCCACGCCCTCTAACAAGAATGCTTGTCTGCGCTCCCGTGGCCGCGATCTTGTAGACAGAAAATGGTCCCGCGCTCCCGAAACCACTACCCGTCGCAACAAAAACAGTGATCCGCAACTCTGAACTTCCGATCAATGGTCAGAACCAGCGGTTGCGCGATCTGAAAACGCGGCCACGTGTGACAAAACAGATGGACAACGCCTTCCCGAGGCAACCTCCAGCAACGGCAAGAGATCGGTGCGACGGGCCCCCTGACCGCTTTTCCATAACAACGATGGTGACTACCTACCGGATCACCCCAACCCAACCCGAAAACCCGAATTTCGGGTTGGTGGGGTTATGGGTTCCATATGTAATTTGTCAATGTTTCCCGACCGCCCCCCTGCTGGAATTGGAAGGCAACTTGAATCCTTCAGGTTGGGTTGGGGTGGTTTGGTGGGTGGTGAGATGGGTCCACGCTTCCGACGCCAGAATCATTTGTAAAAGGCCGATGGGGCCGCGCTTCCGAAGGCGCGCGCTCGGAACCCGCCAGCCACACAGCCAAAATCTTTCAACCAGCCAGCCGCCCCCCCCCTCCCCCCGGGACCGCTCCAGGCAACCCCCCAAAGGAGAAGAGGACCGGAAGAATCGAGGAGGGAGGAAGCCACAGAGCCGCGAAGATCACCGAATCCGGAGCCCCCCAGATCGGCGGCACTGGCCGGAGGCCATTCCAACCAGCCAGCCGCCCATCCAGGCAGCGAGCCTACCAGGCGACCTGACAGCCAGCCAACCAGCAAGCCAATCAACAGACAGACACACCCCAAGCTAACCAGGTCCTGCAGGCAGTCAAAACAATGGGGCGACCTTGAGAGGTGTGTACGGTGAAGCGCCTAGCTGTGTGTATGTATAGGTATGAGCGCATGGATGTATGTGTGTATGTATTTACATGTATGTATGTATGTATGTATGTATGTACGTACGTACGTACGTACGTACGTATGTATGTATGTATGTATGTCAGAGTGAGGGGACTGAACCAAACGGTCATTCACTGTCTCTGGGTGCATGGCTGAAGTGGAATTCCGCGGTGCGGATTATTGCTGTTGTTGTTGCTGTTGTCGTTGGTGTTGTTATTGTTGTTAGTATTGTTGTTGTTGTTGTTGGTGGTGGTGTCGTTCTTGTTGTTTGTTGTTGTTGTCGTTGTCCCACCCGCCACCCGCCCCGCGACCCATCCCGCGACTCAGCCGCGACCCACCCGCGACCCACCCGCGACCCACCCCGCGACCCACCTGCGACCCACCCAGCGACCCACCCGCGACCCACCAGCGACCCACCCGCGACCCACCCTGCGACCCGCCCGCGACCCACCCCGAGACCCCCCCAGCGACCCACCCGCGACCCACCGGCGACCCACCCGCGACCCAGCCCGCGACCCACCCGCGACCCACCGCGACCCACCCGCGACCCACCGCGACCCACCCGCGACCCACCCGCGACCCACCCCGCGACCCACCCAAAATTTTCGGCGCCTGCGGCGGGTTCCTTTTGCATTCGTTCAAGGTGGGCAACCTGCGACCCACCCGCGACCCAAACCGCGCTTGGTGTACAAATCGAAATGTTCGGCGCCTGCGGCGAGCTGTTTTGGAGTTCCTCCCAGGTGGAGGTGGAGAGCCCGCGACCCACCCGCGACCCAAACTACGTTCACTGAACAAGCCAAAAACTTCTGTGCCTGCGGCGGGTTTCTTTTGCAGTCGTTTCAGGTGGACAACCTGCGACCCAAACCGCGTTCAGTGTACAAATCAAAATGTGCGGCGCCTGCGGCGAGCTGTTTTTGAATTCCTCCCAGGTGGAGGTGGAGAGCCCACGACCCACCCGCGACCCCCACTATGTTCACTGAACAAGCCAAAATTTCGGCGCCTGCGGCGGGCTGTTTTTGCATTCGTTCCAGGTGGACAACCTGCGACCCAAACCGCGTTCAGTGTACAAATCAAAATGTTCGGCGCCTGCGGCGGGCTGTTTTTGAATTCCTTCCAGGTGGAAGTGGAGAGCCCGCGACCCCACCGCGACCCCACTGAACAAGAAAAAGAATTCGGTGCCTGCGGCGGGCTGTTTTTGCATTCGTTCCGGGTGGCCCACCCGCGATCCCCCCCGCGCTGAACTTGTCAGAGCACGCAAATCGGCGCCTACAGCGGGCTTGCTCGCATTGGTTTGGGAAAGCGCCCTCGTGCCATTCAGCCGATCCGGCCCACGTTGACTCTACAACAACACATCGGCGCCTGCGGCGGGGCTGTGTCTGAACACGTTCATTCACAATCCAATTGCCTGCTGCAATTCGGCATCCGTGCTTAAAGCCTGGGTTCAGGGGAAGCTGCCTCAAGGCGCCCACAATTTAGGAGGAGCAGGAGGAGTAGCAGGAGGAGGAGGAGGAGCAGGAGGAGGGGGAGCAGGAGCACGAGGAGGAGGAGGAACAGGAGGAGGAGGGCGCCATCGACAGGGAAGATGACGGCCACGAGGTCCGCCGGCTCGACGCCCGCGTCGCCCGCGCCCGCCCCCTCACTCTTATCCGCAATTGCGGGGTGCTACGTATGTCTGCATGCATACATGTTTGTATGTATGTGTGTATGTATGTACGTATTTGCGTACGTATGTATGTATGTGTGTACGTACGTACGCATGCATGTATATATGTATATATATGTATATGTGTGTATGCATGTATGTATGTATGTATGTATGTATGTATGTATGGATGGATGGATGGATGGATGGATGGATGGATGGATGGACATATGGATTTATGTATGTACGTATGTTTGTTTGTACGTACGTACGTACGTGTATGTATGTATGTATGTATGTATGCATGTACGTATGTGTGGATGTATGTAGGTCGGTAGATAGGTATGTATGTATGCATGCATGTATGTGTGTACGTATGTGTACGTACGTACGTACGTACGCACCTATATAAGTATGTACGTAGGTACGTAGGTATGTAGGTACGCAGGTACGTAGGTACGTATGTATGTATGTATGCATGTATGTATGTATGTTTGTATGTATGAATGTATAAATGCATGCATGTCAGAAAGTCGGATGGTCGAACTCTGGCGATAGGCAGACGAAGCTCTGACCGTCGGAAACGATTGGTCAAACTTTCCTCCTCCTCCTCCCGTTTTCCCCGTTTCCCCGCTTCATCCCCCCTCCTCCTCCTCGTCCTCCTCCTCATCCTCCTCCTCCGTTTTCCTTCAAACTTCCCTCCTCCTCCCTCCTCCTCCTCCTCCGTTTTCCGCGTTTTCCCCGTCTTCCCTCCCCCTCATCCCCCCCGCCTGTTTTCCCGTTTCCTCTCCCCCATCAACGGCCTCCATCTCCCCTCGTCCCCCGGCCTCTCCCCCCGCGCTTCCAGCCCGCCTCAGCCCCCAGGTGACCAAAGGAGGGCCCCCGGACGCACTCAGACGTTCGCATCGTGGAGTGTGTTCGATGCGAACATGCGACGCCTGGGCGAACTACAGCAACAACAAGAAGCATGGGGACTGAACGAAATCGGCGGCGCACAGAATATGATGAGGGATAGGGACAGGGGGAGAGAGAAGGCCTTCAAGGCCTTCTCTCTCCTCCTGTCCCTATTGGTGTGACAATGTCACACCAACGAACAACATCATGGTGAGCATAATCAACAGGAGGAAGGCGGAGACGGGAGAAGACGCGGGGGCAAATGAGGGGGGGGAAGGACATGGAAGAGGCCGGGGACGACGTGGAGGCAGCAGAGGAGATGCAGATGAAGCAGAGAAGGGGGAGGACCACGTAAGAAAGACAACAATGAGGCACAGAGGCAGCTGATTGGTAGCACAAGGAGGAGGAGGCGGAGGTGGGGGCGACGAGGTCGAGGACGAGGGAAGCAACGACAACGACGAGGGGGGGGGGGAACGGGACGGAACAGCCGGGAACCTCCAGAAGCACCCGAGCCGCCTGACCCCCCATCGCCCTCAAGACACCCGAAGTCTTGAGCGAGAGTTCGGCATCCCGCCTCCTCTTCCTCAGCAACAGCGGTGTGCGATTCGAAGCTGGCCTGGGCGCTTTCAGAAACGGACTCGAGCTCGCCCCTGCCTGCTATTCGATACACGGCTCGGGGCCGCTTAGGGCCCCTCCAGGGCCCCTTTTTCCTGCAATCGTGGATTCGATCCTCCCACGCTTGTTCATGACACCAAGATATACCAATACCTGTACTCCACGGACCTCTGCTGAAAGGCGATGTGGCCAGAAACTCGCGGATAATCCAGCCGTGTTGATAAGGACTCTCGGGGAGGAACAACGGTACCGGTACCTGGTCCAGTTCTGACTTGCTGCCACCCAGTTACCGTCCGCTCGAAAGACTAGAACCATGTATTTGTTATTTGCGATAACGCCATTGACCAGCTCCTCCCTTTCCCTCCCACCCCTGATCACGTCACGACGTGAGGTGCCACCGTCTGGGAATCGGCCATTCTTGGGCATTCTCAGACGGCGCCAGAGCGCACCCTGACGTGAGCGGTCCCTTCCCCCCCTTCCCGCCGCGGTCACGTCACGCCCGGTATCGCCAGGAAGACGTATTTGAAGGGGCCCGAGGACACACAAATAAATACACAAAGAAAAGGCTCCCCCATAGTTTCCCATATGTCCTGGGTCTCTGTCTTCCCCCCCGCTTCCCATATTGTCCCATATTTTCGGGGGAATCTATGATTAATTGTGTCTGTGTGTTTTTTCTCCTCCTGATATTGGGACGTCTATATATATATATATATATATATATATATATATATAAAAAAACAAAAAAAAAACAAAAAACGACCACAGCTCTAGACCCCATCTTGTTTCCAGTGCGCTCGTCGCGCCGCCTGGCTCCGTGAGAGGAGCCCACGGCCCGGCACCAGGCGAAAACGCCCCGTTCAAATATGTTCAAACAGGGTTTTTTTGCAATCCTTCGTTCAAACAGGGTTTTTTTGCAATCCAGGGTTTTTTTGCAATCCTTCGTTTTTTTTTGCAATCCTTCGTTTTTTGATCTGTTTTATATTAGTATTGGAGGAGGAGAGGGAGGAGGAGGAGGAGGAGTCCCCTCCTCCTCCTCCTCCTCCTCCCTCCTCCTCCTCCCTCCTCCTCCCGTTCAAATATGTTCAAACAGGGTCCATAGTATTGTTTACTGTGCTTGGATACTCCCCCTGTAGAGGGGCATGCCCGACTTGGGCCTAGCCGAGCCCAGCCTGACCGAGATCGGGTGTGCGAGGCGGGGACTGATCCACTTCCACCCGCCTGGGAGCCGACGTCCTGGCGCCCCAGCGGGCTGTGGGTACGGACGTCGGTTGGCCCCCCCGGGGGCCCGAGAATGTCCACATCCCCCGCCTGCCGAGGTCGACCAGAACAACTTGGTCCTCCAGGCGTTGGTCGTTTTTTATGTATATATATGTATGTATGCAGGGTAGTTTTTTAATCCATGGGATTTTTTGTTTCCGAAATATAGGATTCGAATACAGGATTAATGTATGAATAAATCCATGCATAAACTCATCGTTGTTTTTAATACTAATTCCTTGCATTTTTGATACACGATCCGCACGCGGAGCATGTATTAAAAACGGCACTGTACATTCCCGCCTCGAGAAGTTGCACGAGAGCTCAGCCTGGCCGAGCGCGTCGCGGCCGAAAGTAGTTGCTGCCCCTCCGGCGGGGCGGGCGGAGGGCAGCCGCCAGCACATGCCGTGGCGGGGAGTTGGCCCCAGACTAGGGAAACAATGTTTGGTCGGCGGGGCGAGAGCGAACCTCTTCCGCTAAAAGCTAGGCGGGCTACGCACAGCTTTAATTAGGGAGATAGGGCAAAGGCGGGCGGGGCCTCAGGCGGCCGGACGGGGCGGGGCCCGGGAAACAACAAGTCACAGAAACATTAATCTTCGGAGGTCCGCGCAGATTTCTCGGATCGGCGCTGGGCCCCCCTCCCCTGGCGCGCGGAGCGCGCCAGGGGCGCCTCAGGGGCGGCGCTGGAGGCGCCGCCCTGGGGGGGCCCGGCGCGGATCCGAGAAATCCGCGCGGACCTCCGAGTTTTAATGTTTATGCGACTTTTCGTTCCCCTACAGACATGTTCGAGTTTCAAGTAGTTTTCGGCCTCGGGGGGGCTCTGGCCAGGCCCAGGGACCTTCAAAAAACGACTCGGGATGAAGCGCTGGCTCCGGGAAAAGGGTCGGGACTTCAAGGGACCCCGGACTGACAAATCCATAACATGGGGTATCTCGGTGCGAGGCGGGGTTTGTCCGCGGCCACCGCCATGAGGACCCAGGGGGCGGTGGAGATGGGCGAGACGTCATGGCGAGATACGATTGGATCGGGATAGGCTCCAGGAAATCCAGAGTATCTAGCGGCCGTCGTTTCTGCAGCCCGTGCGTTGGAAGCCTGGAAATGGGCACCAACACCAATACAGGGGTTTGCCTCCACAGGGGGAAGATGATCCTAGATGTCGGTATTGGTGGTAATATTTCGGCCACCTTGGAAGCCAAAATATTACCACCATCACCGAGATCGGGATCTGCTTCCCTCGGTGGAGACACACCGCCGAAATTGGCGTTGGTGTCAACCTCTAGGCCTGCGACGTGTGGAAGATTAGGATGTCCTGGGAATCCTGGACATCTTGGAAGGCGTGGCCATCATGTAAAACAGGGCTAGGATCGGGATAAATCGCTCCAGAGCGTTCCGGAGCGCTCTCAGAGCGTTCCGGAACGCTCTGGAGCGGCCGCGGCGCCCAATAAATCCTCCAAACCCGCCGATTCTCAGAGATTTCGAGTTATCCCGATCCGATTTTGTCCCGATCTTCGCGTCGTTCGAATCATGACCGCGGGGGCCTCCACCAGCTCCACGCGCAGGACGCCCAGCGGCGCGGGGCTGCTGTACTGGTCCATGTTCTTCGGCCTCCGGGGGGGACAGCTGGCCGGGGGACACGGGGGGGGGGGGGGGGGGCACGAGGGGTGAGGGAGGCAGGAGGGCGGGGGGGGGGGGCGGGGCAGGCATGAGGGCATGGGAATGGGAATGGTCAAATCGCGAGGCGAAAATGGGGGAGGCATGAGGGAGGGGGAGGCATGAGGGAGGGGGAGGCATGAGGGAGGGGGGAGGACGGGAGGGACCTTTCGGCACCGGACTCCGCACGGGATCCTCAGAGGACGCCCCGAGACGAGGAAGAGGAGACGAGGCGAAGCTCGCCCCATCGGCCCGACCAGGAAGAGAACCGCGCCGATACGCTGCTGCAGGCACCACGCGGCCTCGCACTCACTGCATCGGACCGCCCCGCCCTGGATGGCGAGCCGGCGCATGCGCGAGCGGAGGCGCGGCAGTGTGGCGAGAGCGTATTTCTGACAATGTTGTCCGCGTCGGCACCAGGTGAACAGGATGCTCAGTCGGCACGGTAGAGGAGGCGGAGGAGGGAGGGGAGGGGGCGATGGGAGAAGGAGGAGGGGGAGAAGGGCGAGGAGGAGCAGAAGGAGCAGAAGGGAGAGGATGGGACTATGTACGATGGTGGAGGGAGGTAGGGATGAAGGGGGATACTTGGGCAGGAGTAGGAGGGAGAAGAGGAAGAACAAGGGCACGCGGAGGGACATAATATACTTATGACGGAGAGACCGAGCAGGAAGCAACACAGGGAGAAGGGGCACAAGAGGGAAGGGGAGGACGCTAAAGAGGAAGGAAGGAATGCGGAAGGGAGGATGACGGGATACCGATGAATGACAAAGCGAGATGAGAGGATAGATCGGGGATGACGGGGAAGGGAGAGGGGAGAGGGGAGAGGAATGGGCGCGGCATGGCCAGGGCAGGGGACACTGACGCCACATACTCCTCGTGTCCCTCCTGGTGCTGGTCCTCCTGCTCCATCCTCCTGCCCCATCATCTTGCCCCCGTCTGTGCCTGCACATCTCCCTATCTTCTTCGTCCGTCCTCTTCCTCATAGTTCTCCAACTCGCCCTCCTCGTTCGCGTGCTTCCACCGCCTCCTCCTCCTAATCCTCCTCATCCTCCTCCTCCTACTCCTCCTCCTCCTTCTCCTCCTCCTCCTCATCCTCCTCTCCTGCCCCTGTTGCTCCTCCAACGCCCTGGCCTGTCGTCCGGCGGAGTGATGTCTGTGAAGATCATGTAGGGGAGGACCATCAGGTCGACCAGAGCGTCTTCGATGGCCGTCTTGACGAGCTTCTGTTAGGAAAACAAGCTATGACATAAACAGAACAACTCGGAGGTCCGCGCCGATGTCTCGGATCGGCGCTGGACCCCCCTCCCTGGCCCGCGGAGCGCGCCAGGGGCGGCGCTGGAGGCGCCGCCCTGGGGGGGCCCGGCGCGGATCCGAGAAATCCGCGCAAACCTCAGAGTTTTTACGATCATGGCGTTGTTCGTCCCCCTGCCTGTGGAAAGGCCCTGCCGATGCCGGTCCAGTGCCACTTCAGGTCGGGCGGGTCCGGGAAGGTCACGGAGACGCCGCCCACGATCGGCAACACCTCCCCGTTGGCGGCGGGCGAGGGGGGCGCGAGGAGGGCGGGAGCACGCGGGCCGCCGAGGTCCGCGGAGGGAGAGGCACGGTGGGGCCTGGAGTTTAGTCGGGCCTCTCTTCCTGCGGGGGGACTCTGGACGAAGAGTTAAAAATTGCCGAAACATGCACCAAAGTGATCGAACAAATACTAAAACAAAGTCGTCCCCAGACTATTTTTTCTATTTTCTCATGTTCCTCCTGTAGGCGGACAGGCCCGACTTCAGCCTAGAGGGATGAAGGTTTTTTCATGCCAGGGGCGCGCAGGGGAAGGAAGGAGGAGGAGGACAAGGGCGCGCAGGGCAAGAGCACCCCAAGAGGCCCAAGTCACGGATGCTTTAGAGAATCTTGGAGGTTGTTGGCTCTCCCGCCTTTTCGGCGCACCGACGTTCCAAGACAGCCCAAGAGACCCCCAAGATCGACCTAAGACGGCCCAAGAGACCCCCAAGACGGCCTAAAGACGGCCCAAGAGGGCCCCAAAACGGTGCAGGGTGCACCGGGGGTGGGGGGAAGGTCTTCGCCACAAAGGAAGCGGGTCCAAGACCCCGATGCTGTCTTCCCCCTGGGACGACCAGCTGTTCAACCTGAGCGGTCTCGGGGCTGGGAGGGGCCCCGAGGGCACAAAAGGAGCGAAGGGTGTCAGGACTCGTTCCCCTCGGAATTCTTTCCTTCATGCTGGGGCACTGGCGAGAAAGGCGAGAGGGGGGCGAGGACGTGACGGGGTATGCGCACATTGTTCGCACGTGCATAAGAAAGCAAGAGGGCGGGCGAACCAGGCCACTGCACACAGGCCGACGAGTGAGGCGGGAGAAGGCCGCTCGGACAGCCTAGGATGGACCTCTCGAGCTTGCGCTCGTCACCTTCGAGTGCTCTGACTGCATTTGGGTCTTACCAAAGATGTGCTGGCCAACAAAGCGCTCCCAGGATCTCCAGGGAGGCCCGGATGGCCCACTGGGCACTCCTCACCCAGCCCCCCACGGGGCCCGCAGCTTTCAAGCAACCCCGGGGCCCTCTGTGCATCGTGAGAGGTGCCCTGGAGGCCATCTTAGAAGAGGAAACAACGGCATAGACATAAATGTTTGGCGCTATGCGCGGAATTCTTGGATCTGCGCTTGCCCCCCCTCCCTGGCGCGCGGAGCGCGCCAGGGGCGGCGCTGCGGGCCAGAGGCGCCGCCACGGGGGGCCCAGCGCAGGTCCAAGAACTCCGCGCGGAGCGCCAACAGATTATGTTTTTATGGCGCTTTTTGCTTCTTCGATGGACCATATGGGTCTCCCCTGGGAAATCCTGAAAACGCTTTGTGGGCTGGGGACACCTCTGGCAACCCCGGGTACCTTTAGGTTGGGCATGTCCTCCTGCAGGCGGATGCCAGGCGAACACTGAAGAATATCAATTAGCCTGGCGAAGGACCCAACCATATGCAGTTGAGAGTACCGCAATTGTGAATATCTTCTTCGGTGGCGCTCCCTATGGGGCCACGAGCCGTATGAGGGGTGTGCCGAAATGCGTGGCAGTGTACACAACACGAACGAAGACGATAGGTCCGAATATGAAAGCTTGAGCGCGTGCGAGTCGGATCGCGAGCGAGTCTGATTATGAATGAATCTGCGCGCGATTGATTCTATTCGCATGAATGCGTGCATGGATACGCCCAGTGTAAATGTATGTATACGACTGTGAACAGTTTGGGTCTGCGTGACTCTCGGTACTCGTGACTCTGAGCGTCGCCTCTGCAGGGGGCTTCCCTGGGAACCCCGACGGCAGCGCCCGCGCGCCGCGACGCCCATGTCGGCACGCCACACACCTGGTGTGCGGGACGCATGCGGACGGCAGCACTGGGGCCTTCGGTGGAGCTCCCTGTGGGGCCACGAAACGTGTGAGGGGTGTGCCGAAATGGGTGTGCGGGACGCATGCGGACGGCAGCCATGGGGCCTTCGGTGGAGCTCCCTATGGGGCCACGAAACGTGTGAGGGGTGTGCCGAAATGGGTGTGCGGGACGCATGCGGACGGCAGCCTGGGGCCTTCGGTGGAGCTCCCTATGGGGCCACGAAACGTGTGAGGGGTGTGCCGAAATGGGTGTGCGGGACGCATGCGGACGGCAGCACTGGGGCCTTCGGTGGAGCTCCCTGTGGGGCCACGAAACGTGTGAGGGGTGTGCCGAAATGGGTGTGCGGGACGCATGCGGACGGCAGCACTGGGGCCTTCGGTGGAGCTCCCTGTGGGGCCACGAAACGTGTGAGGGGTGTGCCGAAATGGGTGTGCGGGACGCATGCGGACGGCAGCCATGGGGCCTTCGGTGGAGCTCCCTATGGGGCCACGAAACGTGTGAGGGGTGTGCCGAAATGGGTGTGCGGGACGCATGCGGACGGCAGCACTGGGGCCTTCGGTGGAGCTCCCTGTGGGGCCACGAAACGTGTGAGGGGTGTGCCGAAATGGGTGTGCGGGACGCATGCGGACGGCAGCACTGGGGCCTTCGGTGGAGCTCCCTGTGGGGCCACGAAACGTGTGAGGGGTGTGCCGAAATGGGTGTGCGGGACGCATGCGGACGGCAGCACTGGGGCCTTCGGTGGAGCTCCCTGTGGGGCCACGAAACGTGTGAGGGGTGTGCCGAAATGGGTGTGCGGGACGCATGCGGACGGCAGCCATGGGGCCTTCGGTGGAGCTCCCTATGGGGCCACGAAACGTGTGAGGGGTGTGCCGAAATGGGTGTGCGGGACGCATGCGGACGGCAGCACTGGGGCCTTCGGTGGAGCTCCCTGTGGGGCCACGAAACGTGTGAGGGGTGTGCCGAAATGGGTGTGCGGGACGCATGCGGACGGCAGCACTGGGGCCTTCGGTGGAGCTCCCTATGGGGCCACGAACGTGTGAGGGGTGTGCCCGAAATGGGTGTGCGGGACGCAAGCGGACGCAGCACTGGGGCCTTCGGTGGAGCCCCTGTGGGGCCACGAAACGTGTGAGGGGTGTGCCGAAATGGGTGTGCGGGACGCATGCGGACGGCAGCCATGGGGCCTTCGGTGGAGCTCCCTATGGGGCCACGAAACGTGTGAGGGGTGTGCCGAAATGGGTGTGCGGGACGCATGCGGACGGCAGCACGGAGGAGAGGAGGAGGAGAAGGTGGGACGTGGGGCGCTGTCTCTTCAAAACGAGGACCCAACACCACAGGATGGTTGGGAAAAAATACTCAACAATAATCAAGAATAGTCCAAACATCGTCCCCTGACTGTTTTTTTGACCATTTTTGAACACTCCTCCTATAGAGGGAAAGGCCCAGCTCAAGGCAAGGGACACCTCTGGCTACCCCCGGATTGCCTGCGCGCTTCTACTTCTAGGCGGCATCGCGGCCTCCCAAGCCCACCTCTGGCGCACCTCTGTGAAGGGGCCCTGGGACACACAAATAGATACACACAAATAACAGGATCCCCATATTGTCCCATATTTTCTGGGTCTTTGTCTTCCCCCCCACTTCCCATATTTTCTTATATTTTCTGGGGAATCGACGATTAATTGCGTCTGTGTGTTTGTCTCCCTCCTGACTCTAGGCGGCAGCGCGGCCTCCCAAGCCCACCTCTGGCGCACCTCTGGCTACTCCCGGACTGCCTGCGCGCTTCTCGATGGTCCTCTTTTCCACCACCACCACCACCATAGGTTGGAGGGGGGAAGGAGGCGGAGGACGAGGAGGAGGAGGAGGACGAGGAGGAGAAGGACGAGGAGGAGGAGGAGGAGGAGGAAGAGGAGGACGAGGAGGAGGAGGAGGAGGAGGATGAGGAGGAGGAGGACGAGGAGGAGGAGGAGGAGGAGGAGGAAGAGGAGGAGGAGAAGGAGGAGGAGGAGGAGGAGGAGGAGGAGGAGGAGGAGGAGGAGGACCCCTCCCCCTTCAACTTGCACCGGCCCCCGTCTCTCGAGCCCCGAACAGGCAGCCCCCCCCCCCCCCCAAGAGGGTACTCCCGGCCGGCCTCCTCCGGCCCCCCCGCGAGGAGGGCCAGCCTCAGCCGAGGGGCACCGTCAGGGGGGGGGGGGACCGGCACTGGGCTGGACGAGAGGGGGGGATTGGGAAAGGGGGGGGTACGAAATTTGCTGCATGCAGCTGTTTTCGGCTTCACCGAGGGGCCCATTCCTCGATACATAGCCGCCTCAGGCGCCGGGAGGCGCCGGGGAAATCAGCTGCGTGAGCATATTCTCACCCCCCCCCCTTTGCTATCCCCCCCTTTCGCCCGACCCGATGGCACAGGGGGGGGGGGATGCATCGCCCTGGCATCGGCGACATTGACTACCTACCAGACCACCCCAACCGTCCCCGAAGACCCGAAATCGACCCGAACTTCGGGTTGGATGGGTACGGGTTCCATGTCATTTCGCAATGTTTCCCGACCCACCCCCCACTGGAAATGGAGGGCAAATTGAGGCCTTCGGGTTGGGTTGGGGTGGTTTGGTGGGTGGTGAGATACCTCGCGCCGACAGAGATCGGCGCTGGGGCCCCGGGAGTGAATCCGCACCTCCCTGGGCAGCTTGGGACACTGGGGCCCCTGTCGGCGATCCATGGGCGAGTGGGGGTCGATGCATCCCCCCCTCTGCCTGTCCCCCCCCCATCGTTGCCCCAGCCTCGGCAGGCCCCCGCGCGAGAGCGCTCTGGCCTCCAGGGGGGGGGGGGGGCCCGCGGCTCCCGGGAGGGGACCGCGGCGGCCACGGGATGGCCCCGGGACAGGAGGGCCAGCGGTGGGAGGCGGAGGCGGAGGCGGAGGCGGAGGAGGAGGAGGAGGAGAGGAGGAGGAAGGAGGAGGAGAGGAGGAGGAGGAGGAGGAGGAGGAGGGGAGGAGGAGGAGGAGGGAGGAGGGGATGAGGAGGAGGGGGAGGAGGGGGAGGAGAGGAGGAGGAGGGGGAGAGGGAGAAGAGGAGGAGGAGGAGGCCGAGGCGGAGGCGAGGCGGAGGAGGAGGAGGCAGGAGGAGTGGAGGAGGAGGATAGGAGGAGGAGAGGA